ATTCTACAACAGACCAAAAAGTATAACTGAAGTGAACGTCAACATTGATCACAGAAAAAAAAAAGGAAGGAGCTTTGGAAAGTTGTGAATATGCTCTGATTTTTAGAGACCTAGCAAATCTAAAGGAATATGCATTCATGCAAAACGTAAAACACTAATATCTAAGGACAGGACTATATATGGCCCACATATCCAATTCCTAAGGTGAATATTCTATGAACTATACAGAATAAAGCTGAGGATTGCCAACATCAATAAAATTGATTGTGTGCTTTTTCTCTATATCCCTTCCACTAATGCTTTGGAGATTTAATTACCTTTTATTGGTCTTTCCCCATAGAGAAAATTCCACTCCTGTGCAGACCTTTGTAGCTGGTTCTCTCATGGGGCTGAGTTAACCAGCTCGTCTCTGGAGATGAAAAACGCATGTGGTCTGCCAGCTAACTGATTCGCCGATTTTGAGGTGTGTTTTGGAAATAGAGCTCCACCACATTTGTGTCTTTACGCTCCCAACCAGCAGACTTGGTTGCAGTTAATTCCTACTTGTCTAGGAACTGCATGATCAGCATCAAAAACCCTTCTGCTCTGAAGACTAAACTTAATATATTACTCTTTGGCAAAGTTGTCAAGCCGCCAGCAGGCTGGGTCTCTCATTGTCAGGGCGTGAGTATATGCAAACACATTTGCAGACAGGTCTGTTCTAAGAACACTGACCCTCAACCAGACACCTCTTATAGAACAGAATCAGAGTCTTGAAATATGTATTTTGAGCTTTGATGTGAAGCCAACAGCTGAGGAGAAAACTCCTGGGCTTTTAGGAGGAGCGCCACTCCAGGAGGGAGCAGCAGCCTGGAAGGCCTTAAGTTGGGAAGGGGGGCTCTAATTGAAAACATATGAGGCAAAGAATTCCAACGAGGGCCTGGAGTGGCTCGGAGGACAGCTTAGGGGGCAGGAGCCGGGAGTGGGAGTCCCATGTATGTTTGTGTAGCTCCGGTGCATAAATATTTTGTTTCATGTCTAACTCCAAAAGGCACAAGTGCAAGAAAACATCCCAGTTCTACAGACACTCAGAGATGACACCACATACACACGTGCTTAGGTAAAAAGATGTATTTTAAAGTGGGAACAGTTGTATGTTACAAAAAAGTCGCCGTGAATCTCCAACTAAATAAATAAACGTACAGCCCTCAAAGATGCAGAATTTCATCTCTCAACACACAGATTTTGCTTTGTTTTACATGGGTTTTGTAAATGAGTGGTGCTCTGGTCAGCAGACAGAAGACTTCTTCGGCATTTGCTTTTTTTCCTTTCTTCTAATAAGGAGACTACATTCTAAATAAACAAAATAAACAGGTGAACGTAAATCCAAGGTGTTGGTGGTTTTTTCAATTTAACAGTACTACAAAATTAGCCTCGGTAGGCAGAAAGAACATCCCAACCTGTCTGTCAAAAACTCTGGCCATTTCTAGGACACTTTTGCCGAACTGGAAGAAGAAACAACAAAAATTACATTTTATATACATGTGTACGAATATACTCTTTCTTCCCATACAAGAAAAATCTTTAGATAAAGATTGAGTTATTTACCTCATTTTTTACACTTGCATCTGCCCCTTTGTCAAGAAGTAACTGAACTAACTTTTCGTGATTATTTAACGCAGCCACCTAAAAAACAAACATCAGTGCAGTGTGCATGAGCTCTCCCCTCCCGAGGGAGCACAGGGCAGGGGGGCGAGCCTGGCACCCACAGGGTCCCGTCAGTTCACCAGCAGCATCCTCAGATAGGCCGAGCCGCCAGGCCGCTGGGGCTTTGCACCGTACAGGAGTACACGGTGCTCGCTCTGCAGCAGCAACTGCAAGGAAAATAGAAACGGAACATCCCTCTCTCCACATAAAATGACAGGAGAAACGCGAGGCCAGACCAGTACCGAAAGCAGCATGCTCTTTGTTTCACCAGATCTCTTTTGATCCCAGAATGGCCCTGGGCATGAGAGTTGGTAATCACTAAAGAGATGGTTGTTATATATCTATATCTATCTATCTATATAGATATATCTCATAGTGACATTCTCATGCCTTTATTAACGGGTGACAGGGAATACATACACAATCGAAACCCAGAGGTCGTATGGGGCTGAGCTCGCGAGGGTTTTCTAATTACAGAACAAGCTCTGACCGTAAGTCCACACACACAGCCAGGCTGTTGCAGAGCGGGGCGTACCATGAGCGGTGTCTTTCCGTCTTTATCCTTCACATTCACGTCGGCCCCGGCCTCGATTAGGAGGGAGGCCACCCACGGGTTTCCCGACACTGCGGAGACTCTCATGAGCGGGGTCCACGCCGATCCAGCATCCGCAACATCTACCTGTCGTGCCAGAGAAAGAGCTCAGTTTAGCCCAGTTTCTTTTCCTTAAAAGGATTCAAACTTATAAAAAGAGTATTTACTTGCCCCAACTCCCCTTAGCTAGCAGTCTCTCTGGACTTGGTAGGAGTCAACTACATTGTCCTAATTTAATTTGTGTTTCTATGCAGTGAGGGGATGTGTTAGGATGACATTCGAGGTGGCTCAGTGGCCCCAGGGACATCCCATTGGCAGCTTCACCTACATTCTTTAAAATAGAAAAAAGATGGGCTAGGAAAATGACCTGCACTTAACCACCAGGGGAATTCGGCCCCTGGTGAATTCTCTTATTTTCTCTTGCCTAACTTTCCTCACCTGTTTTTTGGAAATAGCATATATTGTATGTATCTTTACAAGCAGTTTTAAATCCTTTCTGGAACAAGGCAGTAATGTTATAATATATACACGTACACTTATGCCTACATATACTGATCAATTTTAGGCAGGAGACCTACAAGTAGAGTAAACACAAAGCAACCAGATCCGTTACACAAACTCCTGATGCCTTCTCCAAAAACACAGTGTGCCCAGTAATCACGGGGCTATTTCCAATAATCTGCTCTACATTGAAATCTCTCGACTTAGTGTTTTAAAAGAAATATTTTAGAATAAGAAAAGGTAAATGTTGCCTCTTTCAATTCTAATGAAGACCTCACCAATCCATGAGGAGTGATACTGAAGTTCAGATGTATATATGCGCACACGTGTGCACACATACACAAATGCTGCTGCAGAAGAATTACTCAAAGACGATCTGTAGCTTTAGTAAGACATCAGAATGGAAGTACAGGCAAGGAAGTGCCGAGAGATCCTTGGACATTCCAGGTTATTTGCATGTAAGAGATTATCCACTGCAGCATCATTAGGACCCGCAGCTCTTCCTCATGCAGATAAATAACCTATGGGCAGCAAGCTCCGTCATATTTAAATAATAATAAAATAAGCACTTCGTATTACATGATACATTATACAGTTTCCAACACATTTTCACTTTTGGTGCTCAGGGTTAACCAGGGGTAGGTATTTTTATTCCTGGTTTACAAGTCATCCAAACAAATCTCAGAGAAGTCAAGTGCCTTCCCTGAGGTCACGTAGCTCATTAAATGCAGCAATGGTTCCCCATTCGAGTAAATAAGTCAGTCTTAGTATAAAAGTGTTACATTTGCGAAGAGGGTGGCAATGACCCACTTGGCTCCCAAACCCTTCCCCCAGTCTTCAGAAGCACTAGGTGAGCCACCTACCAAGAACATGGAGACTCAAGCTATCATCATCTATCTGCCACTAGGCCAACCACACAGAAAGCATGACACATCCATGCTTATCGTTCTGTCCTCTGCAAGATGGCTCCAGCGCTACAGAGGAAGGTGGAATTCATCCCAAACAAGTGTGTTCATATCTGAAGCCCAGAAAGCCTGTATCTCAAAAAACTCTAGTTCTTAAATGGCTATAGCAGAGACTTGCCCTATTCTGGATTCTGGATCCTTTGCTTCTTTCAGCAAAGGTCGACCTTCATTTTCAACTACAGACTTTTACTGGGTGCAAAGCCTGAGCAGAGCTCGTCGGGAACCAAGCAAGGGGAATGTGGCTGTCACCACCACACGTAGCACGTGGAGCCTGGCTCTACCACCGAGACCCACAGGCTAAGCCTTCGGACCTGTGTGCATGTCTCTAAAACAAAACAAGAAATGTAATAAGAAGTTCTTAATGACAGATTTTTCCTATAAGGGGGCACCTTTTCTCATTTCTCCAAAATCAACAGCAGGAACCAGTGAGATCCCACAACCTCAGCCTCATTTTCCCTCAATCACACTTCAGAGACAAACTAGAACAAATCTACTACCATCCTGGAGATATGACTTTTCTCCATTTGAGCTTATTTTGCAGGTCATCTATGTAATTTCTCAGTACTCTACACTGTCTGGCAAACACAGCACAGCAACTTGTCCATCCCTCTTTGTTTCCACGCCTTGAAATTCTTAGCTAATCTCTTCAAAGCCTTGAACTGAAGTTTTCAAAGTTATCAGCAGTTTCCATAATTGATCTAATTCTAATTACCCATCTTCAAATATCTATAGAAGCCTGAACAACTCTACTTCTAATTGCTAAATCAAATTTGTCGTTCCTGATGATACGAAACCCAAAGCAAACAAACACGCCTGCTTCCAGGTAAACACACCAAGGGCTGAAATGCTCTATTCTTGATAGAATCAGTTTGCTCTTTAGAAATTTTTGTAATGGCTAATCTTTAAAGCAAACCAAGAATAAAAAGCATCCACTTTTAAAAGCAACAGGAAGCACGGTGGCTATATAAGCTCTTAACATCCTTGTGTCTCCAGCACTTGAAACAGTATCTGGTATGTGGCGGATGCTCTGTAAATCTTTGGTGACAGACTAAATGAACAAATAAGTAAACAAAAAAAGGAATAAATGAGCCACATATTAATAGAAGCATCAGGCCCAGCTCAAGATTTAGCCCCATTTCTTTTTCCTCCGTGAGACGAATGCCCATGACAACCTGAAGCCTCCCTATCGTATCAGTTGTACAATGATCTCTTTTCCACGGCCTCCAGGCTTTCTAGCTGATAAGTCAGAGCAGCCTTTCTAAGTTTGGCAAATCAAAGGCTCTACTTCGCCTAGACCCCACAGCATTTTAGGTTCTTAACAATGTGGACATGGTTAACCAGGCAGGTCCCGTACCTCGCAGCCATCCTGTATCATCCACTCAATCACATTGCAGTGGCCTCCGTCTGCAGCCCAGTGCAGAGCCGTACAGCCTCCCAGGTCTCTAGCCTCCCAAGAAGCACCGTGTCTTCGCAGATATTTCACAACATCTAGGTGGCCTGCATAGCATGCAAGCATTAGACTGCAACAGATGGAAGAAGAAGCATTTGGCTATTAAGTGCATTCACGAAACACAGGTCTATGTTTTACCCTACCTGGTTAAACCAAGAAATCCTAATTTTAGTAGAAAGGCCACGTGACTCATTCATATAAAATGTACATGTGTCCATCAACTGATAAAGTGTGGTATATCCATACAATGGAATATTATTCAGCCATAAAAAGGAAATGAAGAGCTATAACATGGATGAACCTTAAAGTGTTATCCTAAATAAAAGATGCCAGACATAAAAGGCCACATGTTGTCTGATTCCATTTACATGAGCTGTCCAGAATAGACAACTCTATGAGACAGAACTAAGCAGGTCGGTGGTTACGTGGGGCTGAAGGGAAGGAGAAATGAAAAGTGACTGCTAATGAGTACAGGGGTTCTTCCCGGGATGACGAAAATGTTCTGGAATCAGACAGTAGTGGCGGTTGCACACTTTTGTAAATATATTTTAAAATGTTGAATTGTATATTTTAAAGGGTGAATGTTGTGGTATGTGAATTATATTTCAGTAAAAAAGTGAATAGTGACTGCAAATGAGTGTAAAATATTGGATTTAAAAACATCCATGAGTCCATGATATAAGAAAAAAGGGAAAAAGACTCACTTGACTATTAGAGATAACTATTAAACCATTTCCTCACTCTAAAAATTGGTATTTAAGGAAAAAAATTAACCATTTACTTTGCTTCTATAAGATGAAATATAGTCCCCATCCACAATTGGTGGGAGGAAATTCCTTTTTTAGAGAAGACTACCAGCTATTAATAATAAATACAGAAGGAATCTCGGAATTAGAAAATCCTTTACTTGCAACTCCCAATTAAATAATCGATTCAGGCAAGGATTATCGGTAGATGCTAAAATTATTAGATAAAATTTAATGGGGAATGATATTCATACAGTGTTGAATTATTACCCCATAGATTATTTTCTAACTGCAATGGGAAAACTCTATCTTTGCAAAGGAGAGAATTAACTGTCATTGTCCTAACAAATAATCAAGCCTAGAATCGCTAACTGTGGAACAACCTGCATCACAGGCCCCCTGAGGGATGTAACACGAAGTCACAACACCAGCTCTGAAATGTTCTTGCTAAAAATGTTAACCTGTCATCAAGCCTTTAAACCCATCTTTGCTTTATTGGAAATAAAAGGATACATGAGCAAGTGTAATGCCTGCCCCATGAGTGGCAGACAGTTAGGCAAATCCAGAACACAGGGCGTTCTGTAAGATAACAGGGGTGGGGTGGAGAACCAGTCTAGAATAAGACGGACTAAGAAGAATAAGCAGATGCAATGTGTACGCCTTGAGTGGATCCTCGTCTCACCCCTCATCCCCAAATGAAGCTGTGGAAGACCTTTCCAGGCAAGTGGGGAGCCTTGTGTGGGTGGTTGTGTGTCAGTGATATTAGGGAATTAGTGTGAAGTGTCTTAGGTGTGACGATGATGTGGTGGTTATGCAGGTTAATGTCCTTGTTTGTAGGAGACACGTACTGAAATATTGAGGGGTGAAAGGTTATGATGCCTACTACTTACTTTGAAATAGTTCAGGGGATAAAAGGGCAAATAAAAATGTAGACAGAGAAGGAAACACAGCCAAATGTCAACAACCGCCAAGCCTAGCAGGCAAGTACACACGTATTTGTGGATTTGCGGTACTATTCTTTCACCTTTTCTAAATGTTTGAAATTTTTCAAAATAGAGTTAGAAAATACAACACGAGGTCTTCCCAATAGGGAAACTGCGCAAAGCATTCCTCCGAGCAGTAACTGGAACATCTAGCACCAAGGCAAAGCCCGGCTGAGATAGCGTCAGACGTCTGCAGCCCCCAGTCCCAGTTCAGGCCTTCGCCACTGGGAGACCCCCCAGAAGAGAGTGAGCACGTTGCTTCACCTGCCCAGGTTTGGGGCGCTCTTACTCCCTCTCAACACTCTGGAGTCTATAGAACAATCTTTGCTAAGGAAAGAAAATTTCATTTTTAATATTATATTCAAACAGAACTCTAGTTCTCTGGATGCTATTTTTAAGTCATGCTTCTTTTCTTTTAAAGTAAGGCATGCTGATTAGAAACAATCCCCACGTCAGAGGTACCCATAACCTCATCTCAGAGAATAAACTCCTAAAATTCTGGTGAATGTGCTCTGGAGACAGGAGGATTGTCTCATACCGACCCTGAGACCTCTGGCCTGCCCAGAAATGAGCTTACCGGGACCAGGGGCTTTTCTTTCCCAGGGACAGGCGCAGCCCCTGAACTTAACTTCCCACCAGCAGAAAGCCACCAAGGTCCTCCAAGTACTGAGTGGCTGGAGTCCGCCATTGTTCCTCTAACCAACTGTCATCTGAATCCAAACCATCTGGCACCCAAGCAGTCTGTCATCCTCTGCTTTACAAGACCACTCTCTGGGTTTGCCCACAGAGGAGGACAACAGCAGCAGGGACATAGTGGTCTCCAGCGGCACAGCCTCGCAGGGCAGCCAGCTGTGCCCAGGGCACCCTGCCCCCTGCAGCCCTGGCACACTCCCCAGCCCTTCACACAAAATCCCCAGTCCCTCCTCTCACTCTCTGTCTCTATGACTCTTCTCCCTCCCTTTTTAATTTATCTTTCATTTTCTTATTATTTCATATACTTCCCTCTTAAACCCTGAAAACAGTATTTATATGCTAAATATTCCATCACATGAATATATCATAACTTAAATCAGTCCACTATTGTTGGACATTTAAGTTGTTTCTAGTTTTCCACAATTTTAAATAAGGCTACAATAAACACCCTTATTATGTAAAATCTTATTTACATTTCTGATTGTTTCCTAAAATGGAATCACTGTGTCAATGGACATGGCTGACTTTGGATGCATATTTCCAAATTGCTTTCTAGAAAATTTATAGCAATTTACACTTCTATCAACTACACTTCAAAGTATTTTACTGCACCTTTACCAACACTATTATTTTTAATTACCAATTTGATAGGTGGAAATTTTTTTTATTACTAGCAGGACTAAACATTTTTCATATGAATTGCTTATATTAATTCTGCTATAAATCGTGCAAACTTGCGTAAACTGTTTCCTACTACGTGTGGAGGTTTTTTTGGAATATGTATAGGGATGTGACTCTTCTATACGTTCAAGATGCCAGTCATTTGTCTGTAATACATTTGAAAATATCCCCAAATTATCCCTAACTTTAAAGTTTTTTAAAATGTATAATGTAACTCGATCTTTTCCTTAGTGATTTTTTCCAATGTTTTTATGCCTTTCACATTACAATATCAGGTAAGTATCTTATTAATTCATCTGGAATTTATTTTGGTATGTGCTTTAAGACCAGGATTTAACTTGTTTTCCTCAAATTACACTAAGTTCTATGTACATGGGGATCTATCTGAGGATTTCTATTCCATTCATCTTCTTTCCAACTATTTGTACCAGTATCGAACTACTTTAATTACTGTAACTTTATAAGGTATTTTAATAACTGTCAAGGCAAGTGCTTCCATGTCCTTCTTTGACAAAGTTTTAGTAGTTATTGTAATTTATCTGGAAGAACAAAGAAATGACAATCAGTTTGACAGGTTCCCCAAAATAATTCCATTTGAGGCTGCATTGAATCTGTATGTTAATTTGAGAAAAACTGAAAACTTTATAATAGTCAATCTTGCCATTCTAGCATATGGTAATATATGTCTTAATTTTTTTAATCTTTATATCTCTAAGTTTTAGAGGTTCATTTTTCATTCAATTGTTCTACTTTTCTTGGATTTTTTTATTCTAGTTTCCCCATTATATTAAGCAGCAATTGTAGGTTTTCAAGAAAGTTTTTTTCTTTGCCTTGAAGTTACCTACTTTACTGAACCTTCTTATGAAGTCCAAGTATTTAAAAGTTAATTCTCTTGGGTTCTGCAGGGAAGAAATCATACTTTACCAAATCGATCAGCCTTCCAAAATACTGTCTAATCACAAAATGTAATCTGTATTTACTACATATCAGGCACCAGTTTATGCATTTGTCACATAACCCATTAAATGCCATGACAACCCTGTAAGTACTTCTATTATTCCTATCTTATAGATGGTGAAACTGAGGTATAGAGAGGTTAGTGGCCTGCCCAAGGTCATACACCATGTTCACAGAGGGATCAGTATTTGGTGCCAAGCTCTCTGGGTCTGCCTCTGCTCTCAACTACTCTCATGGGCTTCACTACTGATTTTGAAAAGGATTCTAATACTGAGAATGGTGCTGGCTGATCGTCTGAGATGATTAAAGAAATTGTGTACACTGCAATCAAAGGGATCACTCATGCAACAGACAGGTCCTGCCTCCCGTGTACTAGACACTGTCCAAAGGCTGAAAGTATCCTTCACTTTAAAAAATAAAGTACTTTTTAACTAGTAAAAGTGCTGAGTTACAACCAATTTTTGTTTTGCATCTACACATAGGCAGGTTTCACCTTTAATCTGCTGATGGGAAATGTAAGAAATGTCTTAATGTGAGACAACCTTACCCTCCTGTATGGGTTGGAAGAGATTTATAAATACATACATACAAATATACAAATAGCTTTCTGTCTCTTATGATCAGATTTTAGCAATAAGGTTATCCTCTGTGGCTTTCCAGCTTCCTCTCCACTCTGGAAAAGTTCAAGGTCATTATCCGGACTAGAAAATCTGAACAAGCTCACTGATAGAACAGTCAAGCCACAGAGCCTATACTAGAGGCAATTTTTAAATAAATTTTCCAGTTTCTTGCATGGATATTTGTTGTTTCAGATTTCTTGCTTATTGGGTTGATTTTAGTGGTTTAAATGTTCTCAGAAGTAGTATCATCGAATCTATTGTAGATACAAACTCGCCATTTTCTTTTCATGTTTAGATTTTCCTCTATAACCATCGTTACTGTCTTCTTTCAAATTTCTAATTTTATTTTTTCTTAAATTTATAAGAGATTGGTCTATTGTATTATACAGGTTTCTGTTTAAGAGGCAACTGTTACATTTCTCAATATTCTATTTTTTAATTAATCAAGTTCTACTTTTAATTCTTTCATTTTTCCTACTCACCTTACATTTTTTTCTTCCTTCTCAAATTGGTATTATTCTTTTCAAATTTCTTGAGTTGATAGCTTAGTTCCAAGATTAATCTAAGAATTATTTGGAAACATGCTTTTTAAATTTATAAGTCATTTTTAAAACGTTATTTTAAATCTATCACTGCAGTGTGTCCAGGGACTGGAGTAGGTAGGCTTTCTGATTTGAGAAATTAATTGGTGTTCTCCGCCATATGTGATCAGTGTTTCAGAGCTGTTCTGCAGGACCCAAACCCTCTATCTGTGTGTGTCATGGGACCGTAAGCTCCCTGAGCCAAGGCTTTGCATTTTGCTCACTGTTCTACCTAAGCACCAAGCACGGTGCCTGGCGTGTGGTAATCATTCAATAAACATGGATTAGTTTGAATTAACTAATTAAATCTAATTACTAGATTAGCAAGTATTTTTAAGTCTTTCAAACTCTTTCATCTATCCTTTATAAGCACCATGTTTTTTCCGTGAACTTTTCCTGTAATGCACTCAGCCCACCGAGTGTATGTGAGCCCTTTCACCTGAGCAAAATTCGTCAGCCGTACCTTTGATGGTGACTTGTTTGTTTCTTCAGAAACACCTGAGAGTCTCAGTAAACAGAGTAAGGCTGAACTGCCGTGAGGGCCCCGAGAGAGGTAGCAAGTGCCAGGGGCAGAAACTTTCAACCCAATGCCAGCACAGAGCTGGAGAGTGATTTCATTAACAACTATCGCTTCCCGAGCACTCAGAGCGCGCTATGCCCCGAGCTGGAGAAGTTATTAGAGATCGTAACAGATGCCCCAGAAGTGCCCTGATGAGTGAGAGAACAAATGAACCAGGAACAGCTGGCTTCTGTCATCGCCATCTTTCCTTTAGGACCTACTCTCCTCTCCTCTCAGTGCGGTCAAAAGAAACTCAAGAAAATACTTGGGTTAAGTGAGAAACCCTCTGGCACAAGCCTCGTGACACAATCATGAGAACATCAGCACAAGTTAGGCCGTATCCCGCCTCCTACCTGTCCTTGCCACTTCCGTTCTTCAGATTCACGTCTGTGCCGTTAGAAACCAGGATTTCCACCAGCCTGCAGGAAACAAATTTAACTGTAGCTAGATAAGTCACTTTGATGACTCGGAACCCACAATAACCAGAAAAAAGAAAGAACACTACATTCAAAATGTCTTTGCAACACTTTCTTCTCCAGCTTCAGAAGGCAGCCGACTGTAAAACAGGACATTGTTGAACCGGAAAACTCTCTCCACACCAAAAACATGGGCTCTTACCCTCCACATGGATTATTCATTAAAACCAAACTAAATAAAACACATGAAACAAATTGGACTACTGAAACAACTCACTGTCCTTTTAATGGCCATTTTTAATATATTCTCAAATGGCAGCATTTAATGAAAACACATTTCTATTTCTTTGAATGGCATTTGAGTAATTATAAATGATTGAAAGTAAGGTATTAGTATTAATTATATCTCTGTGTGGAATAGATAATAGCGGGTATCAGTGAAATTATATCTTAGCAACCTAGCAGGGAAGTTTTCCAGAATTAATATCCTTCTTTTTTTTTTTTTTTAAAGAAATTCAAATTCCAATAACCAGTTTTCCCCAGGACCTATAAAATATATTGCATGCGATTAAATGGCTACCTCTCTTCCTTAACATCTGATTACACGTTTTACATTCTCTCCTGCATATTATATAACTTTAGGATAGAAACAGCTGCATTTGTAGCCATAATACGGTAGAGCTGCGAAAAGAGAAAAGAAGTTGTGTTCCTCTCTACAGCCCTTTCCCTCCCATCCCTATTCTGACTAGAGTTTTTGAAAAAAGTAAAAAGTTCAACCACTCACTCAGAGAGATAAGAAGAGCCATACCTGGTATATCCTTTCTGGGCAGCAACCATCAGAGCAGTGAAGCCAAACTTATTGGGAACATCAACCTTAACGTGACTTGGGAAAAACACAGAGAAAAGAGATTAACGTGCCCAGCACAGCTCCCTGTAGACTTTCAGCTGACAGCTCTTGCAGGGCACAGGTGGCTAAAATGGCTCATTTTACTGAAAATTCCAATTTCTTCTGGGCCATTAAGTTTTTGTTGTCCCAGACTGCCCTACCTAATATTTTAAAGGATTCAAATTTACAGGAAGAGAAAATTGCTATAATTTCACTTAAAATAAGCACTCCCTTCGACTCAAACCCATTATGCCATCTGATAAAGCACCCTGCCAAGCACAGCTCAAGTTGGTTTATGACGGCATCTTCACTGCAGGCTTCCTCAACCCCACCGAACACCAGTCTATGTTGGAAGAGACCCAAGCTTTGCCCTCCGTCCCACCTCACCTATGGGGTATAAGCGATGCTGCTCAGGGAAGAAAGCAAGTCTCAATGTCAGCTTGGAAGCTCTCACTTTTTGTGGGAACAGTCTCTGTTCCAAATTACAGAGCCCCAATTCATGAAGGACTTATCTTCCAGGGCACTGAAAACTATTAACTCAGAAAGAATCTAGATATCACTGTCTACTTTTCATTGCAGCGTCAGCTTCAAACATCTCACCTGCAACAGCTACCTTCACCATTTTTCCTCTAGTGTTTTTATCAACCTTTTAAATTAGGAAACAGTTGATTGAGTGATTCCCTAAATTCATCAGGAATTAGATGTGGGCATTTGGGGATCAAATTTGCCTCAAGGTTGTGGCATATAATCAAGGGACAGAAATTATTTGTGGGAAGAAAACATGACACCCGGGCTTATAATTGCCCTTTACAATTTTCATTAAATAATTGCAAAATCTAACATTTACATGAGGCTTATGAGCATCTTTCTTAATGCATACCAGTCACCTGAGATCAATTTTGGAGGGAATTTCAAAGGCATGGGAATTTTTAGGAAAACAAAATAAAGCTACATTATGTATCTCCATGCACTTTATGGGCATTTAAAAGAAAAAAACTGGCAGAGTTCTCTCACCCTCCTTGAAGTATTCGAACAAGCAAATCTTCATCATTCACACTGACAGCTCGATGGAAGTGCTCACTACTTATGGGCTCTCCTGAAGAAATTAGATGGAAAGCAGTCATCCGAAACATAACGAAAGGAGATTCAGTCCAACTGTGTTCCTCCTGTAGCCTTGCGTGGATGGGTGTTCACCTCCAGGAAGGCGCTTGGCTTTTCTTATTAAGTATATCCTTACATTTCCTACTCAACTGCTTCTTTTACTGAAAAAGACCTTCTTTGCACATATTAAGAGAACATTTAGACTGACCTAAAGACTTGGGACATTTTCAAGTTATAAAGTATTGCTTTGTGAATGTTATTTTGATATTTGAAAATAATCCTTTCAGATTTCATAAGACTTAATAAATGTCTCTTACAAGCAAGGAAAACCCCAGCAATTGTCACGACGTGCTAGTTGCATTTGCCAAAAAGTCATTAAACTACTTGAGCAAACAAGGACAAAGTGCTTTAACATTTGAAACGGAAGTTTTCAGCTCTTCTCGGGCATGTGACACACACACTGGCCTCATCCCCTGGCTCGCAGGAGGTGGGGAGCACTGGGAGAAAACCCAATCGGGTAGAGATCTTGCCAAGGAGAGAAGAGCAAGGAGGAGGGTCTGAGAAAGATGAAAAGAAAAAACGAGGAATAGTGGGTGTGCTTTGTGCAGGGGAACATTAACTCTGCAAAGAAGAAAACGGGGCACGGTTCCTCACAAACAGAGCACGAGAAGAAAGGGCCATAGGCGGGCAGCTCGTCTTTCTAGGCATTTATCTTATGGTTTCATTTGTTGCATATTCCATGCCTTACAAATTTTTCAAATTGTCATGATTAAGCTTAAATAATACAAGTGAAGCACTTAGAATAGCACCTGGCACACCGTAAATATCCAACACACACCTGTTGTTGTGCGAACGGTGATGGGAGTAGCAGCTGTTTGATACAGCCCCACCCCGTCCACACCTGACGGGCACCGGAGTGTGCAGTCCCTGGTCTATGTATCTCAGAGGTCTCATTCACTCGTTCAACAAATGTCTATCGAGTCACTCACAGGCCAAGTCTTGTGCTAGGTGCTGGTGGTCCCAGAGAGTGAGACAAACATCACTGACACTGTGCTGCCCACTTCAGCCTTTTTATTCTAAGCCCTAAAAGAAAAAGCATCCAGCCCTACCCATCCTCCCTCACAGCCCCCCGACTGCCTCCTGGGGCTCACCCCCACAGCCTCCCTCTTGCAGTCTGGCCTGCAGAGCTCAGCCAGCCTCCCTGTCCCTGCTCCTTGTGGTGGAAAAGCTCTCGGGGACGTCAGTTCCAGGGCACAGGAGACACTTCTCTCCGGGTTTGCTCAAGTGTTTTACCGAAGTGAAATGGGCAAGGTGCAAACTGGGAGGAGAGGGGGTCAGAAGAATACAGGGGTCTCTATCAGAACGACCTTTAGCTGACACCCTTTTTCTAGTAAAAACAAATTTATGCCAAATTTAGATTATTTTGAAATAACAATTTTATCTGCTAGAGCTTATCCATCTATTAAAGAATTTTTTAGCCACAAATTTCCTTTTCACCACTCCACACATATTTTTAGACCAAAAGCTTCAAATAAAAGTATCGTGATAAGCCGCCAAAGGCCAAGGCCACCGCTGTCCCTGCCTTCCAAAAGGACGTCAAGCCCAGTCCAGTGGCGTCACTAGGGCACTAAGGAAGGAGGCAGGGTTTAGACCCCAGAGATCACATGGCAATGTCTGGTGGCATTTTTGGTTGTCACAACTTAGGGGATGATGCTACTGGCCTCTAGCAGACAAAGGACAGCATCCCCCCCTCCCCCAAAGAACTATCCAGTCCCAAAATGTTAATAGTACCAAAGCTGAGAACCCTGAGCTAGATTAATACGGCCTTAAAATTATCATGTGGCCCATCCACACTTTAGGTGGGTGGACTAAACCCACAGACTGTTCCCCTTCCCCTTGCTTCCCAGAAAGGAGGAAGCAGGGTGCCTACCGAAGTCTCTGTTGTAACAAACAGCCCCATTTCTGTGACTCTCAAACTTGACCTGCCACTAAAAATACAAAAATAAGCCCTTGGGACAGAATCACCCATAATGCCATATAAAGTTCACCCTATTTCTATGAAATTTTACAATGTGTGGCATCCTAAATCAAATCCTATTGATTAAGCTGTGTATAGGACTTTACATGATGCTTTTTAAATTCTCTAAACCACAGGACCAAGATCAGAAAGGCCAAGCTGTCCAAGGCCAGCCAGTTAGGGACAGGCAGCACCAGAGTCAAGGCCAGGTCTGCTAAATTTTGAATGCAGACAGACATCTTAAATAGACGACACCCCTCCAAAAGTTAAATGAAAGGGGATACCTAAAAATCTTCAGAGGAGTGATAACTTCTCGGAATCTCAGGGAAAGTTCTGCAAGCACACACCCTGCTGCATCCCTGCACTGCACACCTCCGTCCCACACCCTCCCCCCACCTGAACAGCAAGGCTCTCTCGGCTGGGGGCACTTCCTAGTGACTCTCGCCAGGAAGCTGTGCAGTGTGCGTGCGTTGTTGGAAAATGAAGTAAGTTCATTTCGTGCTGATAAGCTTGAGGACTGTTTGTAGCAAAGACCAGGGTTTTTGATAATATAATTAAAATAAATGCATTACCCAGTCTAGTGTCTGCAAGAGGTAATCAGCACCTCACAACTTACTCTGAGAACAGAGGGATACCTCACGGAAGGAAAACAATTGTTCCTCATTCCTCGCTTGCTGAGTTTCAGCACAAGGAAGCGGTGTCATCATTCAGGGAAGGAGAGCCCCTTCCCAGCATCAACTCATTAGCCCTCCTCACACCAGTCCAGGAGGAAGAGGAGGAACCCAGGGTCACCACAAAAATCCACAGGAATCAACCAAGGCACAGAAAAGTCTGAAGTTTACATGCATTTGACGAAGAGACAGAAAAGAAATGAAAAGGCCCTTGTTTGCAGTGCACAGCGATTTCCTTCTACTCCCACTATAGGCAGGAGTCACGAAGAACAGAGGAAATTCCAGGATGAGCAGAATGTTCCACTCCTCCCACTCCCGAATCCTTCAGGACTCTGTGGGTTTGGCCCAAGGGAATGCCGTCAATAAGTGCGATTGAACACTCACCAGAGAAACAAGCCCGCAAAGTCCTTGTTGTTTGTTTTCTAGTGTTTGTTAGTGATATTTGCAATTGAGTGTTGCGATTACAAATATCAAGCTGACCCTGGCCATGGTGAGGATGTCAGTGAACGCTCATCTGAGCGGGCTGGAACACAACCGCCCAGCCCACGTGAGCAAGGGCACCCACGAGCAGGGAGGAGACGGGCAGAGTGGTCCTGGGGAAGATGTCGCTCATGTTCTGTAAGAGGGTCATTTAGCTGTAGATGTCCCAGCAGATATTATAATATGGTGATAACACCTTTCTTGGTGGAATGTAAGTCTTTATTAAAAGCAGTGAATAAATCATGAGCTCATTGGAGAAGGTGTTTGCCAATTAACAAGGAGCAGCTGTTTTTCTTTCTTTTTAAGGGCTCAACTGATTAAAATTGCATGCCTCATTTAAGCAAGAATCTCATGTACTTTACCTGGAGAAAAAAAAAAAAGGCTGAGCATCCTTTATTCAAACAAAGTACAAGCTTTTGTGATTCATTAAAACACTCTCAAACTGAATGCAAATTATCAACCCACAGAAGCATTTTCGCTTGCTCTGGATAATGCGCACATTTCTAATTCTTTGTTTAGCATGATCTGCCTCCTTAAGAGAGTCTGCTTTGGATATTATAAATACAGCAATAGCACAAGGGAGCCGCAGCCAGCCAGCAGAGCCAAGAGCCTGCCCCAGCCAGAGGACGAGAAAACCTGATTCTTACCCCACAGATAGCCCCACAGGGCCGAGGCGGCTCCCTGGCAGCAGGCGCTTACGCTAGTCCCTGGCAGCGAAACCGGCAAGAAACCCCAGCACACCTGGTCATCACCAGCGTGTTCTCATCCCCGCAGGAGGGCTTGTCTAACTACCCGTGGAAGCCACGGGACAGGAAGGACAATCCCCTGGACCAGCTCTCCATGGCTGCCTCTCTGAAGCCAGCCCAGCAAGGAGAGGGCACGCCTGCACCACGGGCACAGCCCTTGTCAGCTGGTAGGCAGAGAGCTAGGACAGTTCTACCTTCCTAAAAGAGCTCCGAATGGCACAGTGACACCATGTAAACTCTGGCAAGGAGGTCTGCAAGCCCCGGTCCTGGCTTTAATGTGTTGCTAAGAGAATACTGGTGGACACCTGAAGCCCCCCACGGTCGGTTGCAGAGCACGTTCACCCTCACCTGGAGGGCCCAGGTAGACTCTCCCTGGCCGGTGGGAGATGGATCTATCCCCCAACAGACATGAGAGCAAGCTGAGAAAATGAGCATTTCTCTTCACACTCTGATTCTGCCTCTGGGCCTTGATTCATCACCATCCATCTCTTTATTAAGGAATTTCCATATGCTAGAGATGGCCGATTCATCACCCCCGCCCTTCAGGAGCCCACAGAGTAGGTGGGAAACAAAACAAGTAAGCGAGATACAAGTAGTGTTATTGGAGGTGGCGAGACACTGCTGTGTCGCTGGGGAGGAGGCAAAGCGTGTGGCAGAGAAGGGGAAAGCCACGCGCAGAATCACCTCCTAGCCAAGCTCTGCCTGTGGAGTAGACTCGGGGCTCCCTTTGCCGTCTCCTCCTCCTGGCCTCCTCCAGCGCACAGAGAGCCGGCTCACCTGCCGCCAGTCTGCCTTCTTTTTCCTCCCCCAGGAACTCCAGGAGCTAAATATCTTCCATATAAAAACAAATGCTTTCGACATTGCCAGATTAAGGAACAAGCCCTCTTTCCTGACCTGCATCTCCATAATTGACCATTTCATTTCAAAAATCTCGGAAATCGTATTTTTTCACGGTTAGCTGAGCACCATCTGGGAATGTATACAGAGTCGCCACTCTCAGCATTAACTAAACTCTCAGTTTGAAAGGTATTATAGGCTAACTCAAAATCTGAATTATCTTTAGTCCACACAAAAATTGTCATGAATAATTGAAAGCCATGGAAAGTATACGTGTACCTGCCAAATGCTATATTGAATAAAATTGAAAAATAACTTTACTCACAAAAAGAAGATATCCTCTGTACAACGAAAAAAACTTGCCTATGTGTGTCCTCAGTGGGTGGGCCACAAAGAACATTCCTGGCCACTGTAATCTTCACAACATTCTCATTCAAAGATGGCCCTGGACATGGCATCTTTAAAATGTTTTAAAACGCCCATCTCGGAAAGTATCTTAGTGCTCACTCAACAGGGACAAGGATGAGTGTTCGGAGGCACTGTAGCTGGCCTCTCTTGCGTCACCTCTGTGGGGCTCCCTCCTGGGGCTCTCAGTGGACAGAGACAGCACTGTTCATTCACCCTCACTCACAGCACCTCTAGGATCTACGTGGCCAGGCAAGACACACACACACACTGAGGTTGTCCAGAGTGGACACAGCGCTGAACGGACCTCCTCCCTGGGGACACGCAAACAGACAGCCCGTCTCACCGCATGAAGATGCTCGCGCAGCCCACCCCGCTCTGGCCCGTTTCCTAAGAAAGGTGACTCCACCCTTTTGTGCAAATATCTACTGACAGGACAGTCCTGGCACCAAAATAGCTTTCCTGATTTCTGAAATCAGACTTCCCTTACGTTATGTTACCACCAGGCCCAACCAATAAACAACATTATCACGGTCTTTTTAAATGAGTCGTGTCTGCTTCTGGCAAGGCCAAACAGAAGGCAGAATGCTTCACCTCCAGGGTGTTTGTCATCGCCACTTATCTTCAGATTAGCAGCGCAGAGCGGTGGCATACTCACTGGTCGTTGACACCGAGATGACTGGGCTGTACTCGTACTCTCCAGAGGGGCTGGTGACCTTCAGTCGAAATCTATACACTGTCCTTGGTTCCAGACCTTCGACCACGTGCTTCGTTGCATATCCCCTAGACAGGAGGAGACACATGCTGATGACACCAGGTCACCTAACCCATGCTACGTCAGGAGATGAGCAGGTAGAAGTGATTTTTAAATACCATCTATTTCCAGGGAAGATCTTTTTTGAACTTAAGAATGAAGGACACTCACACATGGCACCTCTGTCCCTACCCTGGCCCACAGGGCCTAGCCCAGGGCTGGGCACATAGCTGGCGTGCAATTTGTACTCTGGAGAAATAATCACATTAACACGACATCTGTCCTCAAGTGACAAATTTTCACATTTGGAAGACAAGACAGGCAGTCAAATTGCACATACATGATTCTCAAGTGGGGCCTTTGAGTAGGTGGGTGAGGCAGTCTACACAGCTGGGTACCTACTGCAGCAAAATACTAACACAGGACGGCTCGTAGCCCATGACACCTTACCTACCGCTGGGGACTCAGGCCGCACATGAGAAACGACTCTGACATCATGCCACATGGTAAAGTTCATCTAGAAATGTCTGTGGGAAACGGATGCTGAACACTTCTAGAATAGAAATCTGATTAGAGGCCTGCAATGCAAATCCACACGCCCCAGAGGGAAGAAGTGCCGAGCCCAGTCGCTGGGAGCATGCAACGCGACCACCGAGAAGTGCAAGTGCTAAGACCCGGCCCCTCCACTGTGAGGCGGGTCCCAGGGCCCTGCTCTGACCCAGCATGTGTTCTAGGCCTCCAGAAGCTGACAGTCACACGAACTTCCCCATGTTACCCAGAACCAGTTTCCCTTTGCTGCCAACAATCTTTACTGGTACCAGACTAAATTCCACGTGCCTCTTTTCAAATCCTATGTCTAAATTTTTCTTTCCTCACACCTCAAAGCCTTGTGTCTCTTTTGGGCAGGGGGCGGGGGGCATGTACTATTTCCAGCTCTTTTTTTTTTTCCTGCTTCAACATCCAATCTAGTCGTTGCTCTCCTCCCTTCAGAACACTCTCCACAGCTCCTTAGACTCCAAGCTTTCTGTTGTTTTCTCCAATTTTTTTTTATGTTTCTAAATTTTTCTTTTATTCTCAGTAGGTCCTCCACAGAGGCCAGAACCATTCTTTGGGATTCACAATTAATTGTTCAAGGATATTTATGTGCAGCCCAAATACTTATGCATCAATTCCATTCCGTGCTACTCAACGAATGTATCTAGTGGCCCTTGCTAGCACGGTGCCAGGCCAGCCTGGGGTGTGGCCCTGACCAGCTCAGGGCCGAGATGAACTGTCCAGGGATGGACCCATCTCCTGCTGATGGGGTGGCAAGAGAGGCAGTCACGGAAGTGAGGAAGGGACAGCTGAGTCAGGCTGAAATGACAGTGCCAGACTTAACATCGTGACTTATCGTGACTAACAAAAGCTCACCTGAAAATGTGGCTTTAGGTCTGGGCCAGGTAAGTGAGCCAACACCTCACCTATTAATCAAATGGCCTCATGCCCCTCTCCCACCCAAATTACTGCAAGAGCTTCCTAGTGAGTCCTCCCTGCTGCTCGCTGCCTTCCTTCCTACAGCCTGTCCAGCTCTGCAGCCAGAGGGATCCTAATGAAACCCAAGCCAGACTATGCCCCTCCTCAGCGCCACGGTCTCCACAGGCTCTCCCCACCTCTCTCCGAGTAACAGCCAAAGTTCTCTGACAACTCCCAAGACCTGAGGGGTAAACTCTCCCTCGTGTTCACTCCACTCTTCACTGTTCTAGAACATGCCAGGCACACCCCCCACCTCAAGGCTCTCTTCACTTGCTATTTGCTCGGTCTGGAATGTTCTCCCCCCAGATATTTGCAAGGCTCCAGATATCAGGCACGTGCTTCCGATCTTTACTCAGAAGTCACCTTCTCGGCGAGGATGTCCCCAACTCTACCCTAAGCCCCCAACTGTTCTATGCTTTTTCTCCTTAGCACTTACACCACCTTCTGACACACTATTTTTCTTACACACCTTATCTATGGTTTGCCTGCCTCATCATGAGGAGGAATTTTTGTCTGTCCCTGGTACCACATCCCCAGTACCCAAAACAGTGTCCAACACCCCGTGGACACTCGATAAGCACACGCTGACGGGAGGAGGGAAGTGCACAGCACGGGCACCGATCATGGAAATTTGGGGACCAGACAACAGGATCATAAGGGGAATCTCTCAGTGGAGGTAAAATCTGACCTGGGCAGAAGAAAGGATAGGGCCATGGGGGCAGTTTGTCTGAACAGGGGAAACAGCTAAACACACACGCAGAAAAAGCCAAGGCACATTCAACGGGCAGAAGTAGATCTGACTTGGAGGGTCTGTGCTCAGAACCAAGAGGCAGCAGGAAAGGCGGGTTGTGGGCGAACCAAAGGGCACCAGACATTAGTCTAAGGAGTTTGACCTTCATCCTTCAAGCAATGGAGACCCACCCAAGACAATCTGACAAAAGGAAGATTAAAAAAGAAAATTAACCCAGCAAGACAGAATGAAGGGATAGAAGGCAAAAAAGAGGGATGAGGCCAAGTCATGCGATAAACCTGCTGGGCAGGTTCAGGACCTGGGGTCGTGTCAGGGAGCTAGACAGGCGATGGAGCTTGTATCCTGTGGGTGACGTGCCCCTGCCTACGGAGAGGATTCTGCAAAGGGAGAACTCACAAAGCTCAACAACCAATTGGCCACAAGAAGCAATGAAGGAAAGCCCAAGTCCAGGACAGGGCCACCGATTCAAGATAGGCCACGACTGACGAGAACAGAAGTGACGAGTCAGGACAAAGTTCTTAAACCCACAATCCCAACATCAGATATTCTAGATAATTGCTTCTGTAAAGAAAGGCATTTGCTAGTTTTAATGACATCTAGAGAAAGTGAAATAATGAAGCAAAGGAGGTCAGGATTAATACAGCCTCATTCTGCCACCTAGTGTCAAGGTTGGGACTGTCTCTTTCTCCCAGGGAACACGGGCGTTACAGCACCATCCTCAGAGATGCCAGGCCAGCGTCCGAGTGCATCCTCCAGCCTGAGGGCAACCAGGTCGTCGGGAGAAGGTGACACAGACACGTTGGGCTGGAACCCTGCGCGCATGGCCGCGGCTTCTCCAGGCGAGGCTGTCTAGCTGGACGCCCGGCAAAGGGAAAGAGCCAAGAAGTAAAGGAGCGCCAAGGACGGCCCCACCGCCTGTCCACGCACGGCCTGGGGCTCGAGGGGGATGAGGGGAAGGAAAGACGTCTTTTTCTTTCTCCATAGAAAAACTTGTCATAGCCCATGTTTTTAGATAGAAATTACCTTCAAAAAATACCACATGACACAATTAAAAGAATATTTGAGGAGTCAGGCCAGGAATCATTTTCACGTTGTACCTACATTTCGGATAATGCATTTTTTGGGTATAGAGAAATTTCTCAAGCATCAGGTATCTCACTCCTCAGAGTAACAGTTGAAGCCTTCTTGTCTGCATATACCCTCACATCAGTACCCGTGGCACAATGGCACCGTGGGAAAAGACCAGAAAAGTGATAGAACTGGTCTGTATCTTGCCTGCAGAGTGCAAGCATCCTGGGTTGTGCTGCTGCACGACAGTTTTCCACGATGTTACCGTGGGGGGAAATGGGAGAAGGTCCATGGGGTCTACTATTTCTTATGACGGGATAGGAATCTACAATTATCTCAAAATTAAGTTTAATTAAAAACCATATTTGTGTCTCATTTTGGGTATTCCTGAATCACAGCAATAGCCATTTTACGGGTGGTAAATCTGTCAAAGGGAAGAAATCAGTCTGAGTTAATGCAAAGACTAAGGAAAAATGGCTTCTTGATTACTCCTGTTGCGTTCATTTGTTCATGTGACAAATAAATATTCATATTCCAGGCAGCACTGTCTAGGAGCTGGGGATAGAGTGTTAAGCAGCAGGAATCTTACCTTTTGATGAGTTTAAATACTGGTGGGGAGGTAAAAAAATGAACAAGTAGACAAGTAAGATACTTCCAGCGGAGCTGAATCCTGCGAGGCCGTGAAACACGGTTCTGAGACACAGGATGCCTGGTGGAAGGACAGCTCATTCAGAGCGCCTTTGGGCGGCGAGGGGGGGGGGGGTTGACCTGAGACTTGCAGGGGTAAAGCAATCAGCCATATGAAAAAGGAAACACATTCAAGGGAAAGGCAATAAGCAAGGTCCTCATACGGGAACCCACTTGGCTTGGTCAAGGCTGAGAGAGAGGGAACAAGTTTGGTGCAAGAGAGTTGACAAGGGGACAGTGGTATGACATGAGACCAGAGAGCTGGCCGGGGCAGACCATGTGGGGATCCATCCCACATCTATGAACACAACAGGCCAATGGGAACCTCAACTAATTTCATCAAACTATCTTTTGCTCTGTCTCTTCATTTTGGATTTTAAAAATATACCATTAGAACATTTCAGAAGTCAAAGAAGCTCTCAAAGATATAGGTTTAATTTCAGAGTTACCACTAATGCTTATTTTCTAAAAATTATAATTCATAAAAGAGCATGAATGCAAATGATGCTGACTCATTCTTTAATTTCAAAATAAGCAGTGGCTTTTTGGAATAGAAATCGTTCTAGCTAATCAGGAAATCAAAAGCAAAAGGGTAAGCAATTCAACGTTGCACCTACGTATAAATGATACCGTAAGTGTGCATTTTGGGGTCTTCTTCTTCAACTGAGAACCTGAACCACTGCTCTTGAGGTCCTTGCCGTTTAGCTTTCTTTTCCAGATCCCAGTATAACTCGATGCTGTGATGAGTCACTTTGCCCACAACAGGTGGATGAGGCTTTGAGGATGGCGTGATTTCTAAAAAAAAAAAAAAAAAAAAGAATGATGCAAGATTTCAGGACCCCATTTCCATAAGGAAGGGAGATCAGTGAGTGGTTTATAGCTGCTCAGTGATCAAACTGTTTTTCTGCACATCACACATACATATATCTCCCTGTTGCTTGAAGAACACCCGAAAAGCTGAAGAGATACAAAAGCCAGCTGATGCAGTGACCTACCACATCCTTCAACAAGCAGACTGTACCACACCCGTCAATATCTACTTTACTTAGGGATCTTTCCAAAAAGGTTAGTCAACATATCAAACTAATTAAGTTGTTCTTTGAGCTGATGAAACTCAGTTTGCTGCTATAATCCTTCAGTGAACTGACTAATAAAGCCAAGAAAAAAAGGCTATATCTGGCCCAAATATTTGCAACATAGATGACAAAGAGTTGACATCTCTTCTATATAAACAGCTGTTATAAACTAACTTAGGAAAAAAAACTCCAAAGGTTAATAACAAACCAGGCAAAATATAAGCAGTGCACAAAACAGCAAAAATAAATAGCCGACATAACAGACAAAAAGATGTTTGTATCCCCTCGTGTTCACAGAAATTGATAACAATGGGGTGTTTCTTTATGTCTCGTCAGAAACTTAAGAAGAGATATAAACGTTGGAAGGGACAATGCAGGGAGAAGATAATTTCATATGTTGGTTGTGGGGAAATATGAACTATGGCATTTTTAGCAATATGGCAGCATTTATTAAAATTAAAAATACACATACCCTTCTATCCAGCCACCCACCACTGATAACCTCTTCTGAAGAAATCAGAGCACTAGACACACAGGGACACACACACAAGGATGTGACTACAATTTTTAGCAGTTTATAGGGAAAAAAAGAGACCTATTCATAAGGGAATGGGCAAATAAATTATGATATATCCATAACATGGATTATACAGCCTTTAATAAATAAGTTAGTTCTACACCACATGCTGTGAAAGGCTCTCTATGGGTATTGTTGAATGAGAAATCAAGGTGCAGAGAAAAACGGAATCTCCCAATTTTGTAAAAGGTAACAAGGAGTACAATATAGTGTATACCAATATAGTGTATAATTGTATTGGTATACAATTTGTATACCAAATTGTTCAGCAGGCAGTCATTCTGTTTAACATTAGTTTTGTTTCTCCTGCTACATTTTAAGTTCCTCAAGGGTTGGGTCCATGTCTTACACTTTTTTAAAAACTTTCCCCTGTATCTCAGCATCTTTCAGGCCTCAAATATATCACTGATTTACCGTACTGGTGATTCAAAAAGAAAGGATCATGTATTTCCCCGAGCCAATGCCTCAGGTAGCTGACGGGCTACCCTCTGCAGACCCTGGGGTCTTCCTGCAGTGCAGCCCC